TGTTTGAATCGGGGATCGTACCTTGATGTCCGGGATGATGCGCAGGAAGCGGAAAACAATCAGCAGGTTGACCAGACGGATCATCTCCCACAGCGACAGCACGCCGTGAGCGGAGGGTTCCCTGCGGTCAGAGGTCAGCGATTCTAAAACACGCGTCTTTGTATGTTTGATCAGAGTGTCTCTGAAGCTCCAGGTGTGAAGTCACACATGAAGAGCGCCGCTGGGACTCCTCCCACAGAAACACAGAAGGCACAAAATGAAACAGACATGAACTCACCACTGAGAGTACGGAAGCCTGTAGGTGATAAAAATGGTGATCTGCAGGACCTGAAAGGAAGCAGGGGACACAAATTACCCTCCCAGTGTGGCTCCTACAGCGTCCTTACTAATGAAAGTGACCAATCACTGACTGCGATGTCATAGATTTGGAGAATACTGTGTTTAAAACAGCTGGAAAACTTGAGCTTTGATGCTGAACGTTACCAACAACAGGACGGTGAGGAAGCCGTCGAAGATGTTGTTCCTGTAGGACAGGTAGCCCCGCCAGCCGAACGCAAAGATCTTCACACACATTTCAAACAGGTAGTAGAGGATGAAGCACAGGTTGATGATCTGAGGGGAGATCAGGGAGAGTCACGTCACTGCTGATGCTCAAGTTTGAATAAGTCATTCAGAGGAAGTCCAAACTCTGACGCTGTGATCAAAGTCCTGCAGTGTGACTTTACTAACTTAGCGTCTCTTAAAAATGCAGATTTAGATTAATGCTGATAACACGTCGACTTATGCGATGGCAGCAACTGTCTGTCAGTGAGTTTACTGCAGCCACGCATCCAAAACAGTCTGCAGTGAGACCTAACCACACCTCCTTGTGACAGTCGGACCTCAGGAGCAGCTCAGCAGATACTTGCTAATGCTAATCATTAACCTTCAAAATAAAAGCCTAGAATTTCACCAAACTGGAGCTCCGCCTTCACGGGCGGTCTGTTAGTGCAGTGACCTCACAGCTGCCATATTATTGGTCACATGATGTCATTAAAATGCTCCAACAGCACAAACAGGGTGCAGAGGTCCAGTTCAGGTGAAGCTAACAGACAGCTAGCAGAGGCCACAAAGAGGCCACGCCCCTAATAATGCAAACTTTAAGCCTTAATAAGGCTTAACAACCATTAACAACCATTAACAACCATTAACAACGCTTACATTGAGTCATTTACACAGTGAGTGCGACTGTTTTCACCTCCAAGACGAAGTTGTCTCTCTCTGCTGTGGACTTCTCAGAGTTCAACACCAGGACCGTCTGAAACACACACACACACACACAAACACACACACACACACACACACACAGACACAAACACACACACAGTTGATGTTACAACAGGCCGACCCGCTCAGTGAGTGTGTGTGTGTGTTACTTACACATATACACACTACGTTGGCCAGAGCCACAGCGTTTCCAAACAAAATGAGATAGTAGTGACTGAAGATCAGCTGGAGCTTCTGCAGGGTGGGAGAGCTGTACTGAGGCAGAGGAGGGTGCTGAAACACACACACACACACACACATAGTCAGACACAGCCTCTGAGATGTAAGGCTGAACACGTCTGGCCCTGCTTCTACCTCCTTGATGCAGTCTTTATCAAGTTCATCAAAAATCTTGGTGAACTGTTCTCGATCCATGAAGCCGACGTCTTCGTACTGCTGCGCCACCTGAGGAGGAAGAAGACATGGAGACATGTTGAAGGCTTTCAGGAGGTCCGACTGGAGACAGGCTGAGAGGGTCTGCACGTGTGCAGAGGGGGGAGGATGGAGGTATCGGACAAAGGAAGATGAAGATGGAGCTGGCAGGCAGGAGGAGGAGAGGAAGACCTCAGAGGAGGTTCATGGATGTAGTGAAGGAGACGTATGTGAGTGTGTGTGTGTGTCTGCCTGTGTGTGTGTGTGTGTGTCTGTGTGTGTGTGTGCTCTGACCGTAGTGATGGCTGCTCTGTAGTATCTCTTCATCTTGACCCTGGACATCACCTCCAGCACGGCGTCAACGCGAGCGCGCTCCCTACAACAGAGACAGGTGTGTGTGTGTGTGTGAGATGACTCCTCGTATTGAAGCGTTTCCTCTGAATCGATGACAAAACTGCGCCGGCTTGTGCGAGTCTTACCCAGCAGCCCGTCCCCGGCAGGTGAGGACCTGGAAAGCTGCCCGGATCCCGAGTCGCCTCCTGAGGAATGACGTCTGGACCGACATCTGGACAAAAGCAGCAGCGGAAAGATTTTGTGAAGCTCTCTGACGGCGACTCTGCTGCAGCTTAACGGCACAAAGCTCAGAGCGCGTTAGACAAACGTGGACGCTCGCTATCAAAACGCAAACGTGCAGACTTCCCTGGATGTCTGAGGTCGTCTGTGGGGTTTTTCTGCCACTCTTTGTTTCTGCGATGAGGCGACTTAACGGCCTGAACGCTGCAGCTTTAAAGGCCACTGAGACGCCTCTGATCCTCCAGCAGGTGGCAGTACTGACTCACCTGTAAAAAGCAGCGTTTCAAGAGCCTCGTGTGGGGCTGTGAGGGCGATCGTCCTCCTGCTGTTTCTGTGTGACGCTGGAGTCAGACGTGTGACTCACAGCGAGCGAGTCAGGATTACTTTACAAACTGATGAGTAAACACGTGATTCTGCAGGATGTAAACTGCAAACATCTGTAAGGTCACCTTACAGATGTGGGGAATGGCGCTCTGCAGCGTGCAGCAGGGCCTGCTGGTTACATTGCATCGTCCTGCATTAGAGTCAGCTGCTGACATGCATGTGATTCAGCAGGAGGACAGTTTTGGAGTTTTTGAGTCTGGCTTGCTGATCAAGCTTTGAGCTTTGGTCTGCACAGGCGCACCTGCAGCACCTGTAAAGACAGAGCCGCGTATTCACAATAAAACAAATCCTGCTTTTGGAGTTTAGTCTGCGTGATGTGGGTCAGCGCTGCTGCTGCAGCAGAACCTTCAGCTGGGACAAATCCAGAAGAACAAGTTCTACAACACAGAATTACTAAACTGGTCCGAGAGTTTTTAGGAGACGCAGTTTGAAAATCATAGGAGACGTCTGCCCACCAGCTGCCCGATGAGGTGACAACAGAACTGCAAACCTGTCAGGCTGAGGAGGAAATCAAATCTCCAGGTGTTGGAGGAAGTTTCACAGTTTAGATCAAACGTCCTGCAGCTGCCGAGCTGACGTGGTTGTGGGCGTGCAGCGGTCCACATGCAGACCTGTGAAGGCCGTTAAAGCCACACTCGACGTGACAAATGAATAAACGATGGATCTGCGCAGCCCTTGATTCTCGCTTCCTGTGTGGTCGTCACTGAAACTGAGTTTGAACCACCGACCCAAACCTACAGAGTCCCGTTTGCTGCACAAATGAGTAAACACGAAAGGAAGCAGTGGAAGAAAACACGAGTGAAGTGTGAAAAGTACAAACGAGACCTTTCTGTGAATAAAAAGCAAAATCCAAGAGCATGAATCAGCAGATTAAAGAGTGCTTGACAATCCACAGTGAGACTGTGCTGTGCATTGTGGGAAATGTAGGCGTCAGCAGCCTGAGGTCGCGAGCCGCCTCTCGTAACGAGAGCATTACCTCACAGGATGAAGCCTCAGCCCATTCCCCGTGACTACTTCCCACACTCCGGGCTTGTTTTTCCCCGTTTCCAACACAAAACCTACATCACAGCTCGTGGACACGCCCACTTTTCCAGCTGGGCGCAGCCGCCGCCACGTCTTGAGTCAGAATAAATCCCTGAAGCAAAGAGTGGAAGAGCTCAGTCATGTGTGACTCACCAGCAAATATCCCCTGAACTGGTTGTAGATGATGGCGGTCAGCAGGTTCATCAGACAGTAGGTTCCTGCGGGACGACAAACATTGAGCCTGACTGTCGAACACGTCAATGCTGCGGTCAACTAACGGCTGCTTACCGATGACGCTGAACGCCACGAAGAAGATGGCGTAGCATCTGTTTAGGGAGTAGGCGGGGATCATCACTGTGACACAGCAGAAAAAGATGATGGCATTAGCATTAAACTGTCTGTGACCGTGGCGTGACCGTGGCGTGACTGTGGCGTGACCGTGGCGTGATCATGGCGTGACCGATCGTGTACCATCAGGGTTGTTGGCCGTGGTGAGCAGCACCAGCAGAGACGTCAGGGAGCTCGGCAGGTTTCTGAAGTGTAACTCCCACTCGCCGTTCTTCTTCGGGTCCTGAGCACAAACACAGACATGGAGCGATGAGCCGACACCAAACCTGCAGTTCCTCT